ATATATATATATATATATATATATATTGTGATTTGGCTATTTCTCTTATTGGCCATGGTACATTCGAACTATGAATCTCTTCAACATACGAAGTAAGAGATGCATCGAAACCCAGTCGCTCTTCGTATCCTAGTTAAAATGTATTTCTATGATGATAGCGTATATTCTGATAGACAGGCTGAAAAACAGTGAAAAGCCGATCGTTTAACTGCAGAAACATGGCAACTTTTTCTTATCTCTAGTCTGAACTCGGTTTCCGATATCCTCAGGACATAAAACCGAATGTAAGATTGCGCCTAAAAGCCGCTTTGCGTCGTCTCAACCCCTCTCGATGCTGCCCAACACCGGGTTATCCCAAAGCGACAGTGATAAGACTCAGCCATCCCCGGCATCTGCCGAAGTCAAATCGCACCGCCCTTTAGATCCGCCTCATCAAAGTCGCACCATCTGTTGGCACCGACCCAGCTCGGCCGAGTCTGTTTGCAGAGTCTGTAGGTAGAGCAGGGATGCAGCAACAGCTGCGTCCTGTTTCAGCTGCCTTGGTCAATGGTACCGGCCGTCTGGATGTGTACAGAGCCAGTGCTGCATCGCATCAGCAAACCGGGCCTAATCAGATCCAACCGGTCTACGGGCAGGACCTGGTCCCAGCTCCCAATGGGTCGGTATCTTAGTCGAGAAATCAAAAAGCTATCGTTATGTAAATTAGCCCAAGAATGCTGGTCCGACTCTGACTTTTTTAACAGGTCCCCACCAATCGGTACTTGTCAGTGATCCACGTGTCTCACACCAGTTGCCTTGTTTTTTTCCCCCTCATTCTTGGCTCAGACCTGCGGGTCGAGTCTCACCGCGGCCCGCATCTTCTCTTTCACAATCTAAACGATGGCTCTTGTCCGCCTATACGACAGCAGGCCAAGATACCGTGTGGGATTTTTGATAATGCTGTGTGAATTTGATTTTTTCGGGATCAAGATTTTGCAGGCTGGTGCAGTTTTAGGCTAAAATGTACACACACACACACACACAAACTCACAAACGCAAACAGGAAGCTGACCCATTTCAGGTTCGTTACTTTGCACGTGTCAGCTATTTGCCTGAAAGGAACGGGCAACCGGGAGTATCGTTTGTCGATATCTTGACCTTGTGTTGGAAATGAAGAAGAACCAAACATGGACGATCTGTAATTGCAGATTTAATGAACCCATTTCACTGTCCACACGTACACACTACAGGAAAGTCGTAAACCCATACAAATCATACACATTGACTGTTGAGGTCGCGACCTGCTTCCTTTTGTGTACTACCCCAATCCGGTTCGAATGTCAAAATGGATTGGTTGTCCTGGCGACATGCAAGACGACGGCCACGCGACCGGGCTAATCTGTGTTGAGCCAACTTGTGCCCCCGTAATTAACAAGTCATGTATGCATGCGTGTATGTGTGCGTGCGTGCGTGTGTGCCTTAGCGTCACCTTTCCTGCTGTCCCACTCGTCATGGACCCCGAGACCGCCCTTCTTTTGGTCGTCAGTACTTACAGAAGCCCGTCTGTCCTTTGCTTTGTCGTAACAGTCCCTCAGCAGCTACACGCCTTGCCTGCCTGTGGCTTCCTGTCGCCTCCATGTCGAGGCCGCCTGTTGCCCCCATGACGAGGCCGCCTCATTGGCCCATCTGCCCGGCGTTGCCACAACACCTACGACCAAAGTTGACTCGATCGTGCGGTCAGACGACCAACAGTTCGGCATTCCGGCCGACTCATGTGCCCATCAGTTGGACACGGAACTCGTCGAGCCGGCAACCAGTCAGGCTCTGATGCTACTGCGCGCCCAGCATCCGATCACTTTTATCAGTCTCGTCAACGCCTACCTTTCCTACCTCAACTTGACGTCAAGTGAGCTCGACCAGTTCGTGGAAACGCTACGCCGCGATGATTCTCCAGTCTCCACTTGCCTCTGCACTGCCACTACGCCAACACCAACACCAACACCTACGCCAGTCGGCAACATGACCACCGGCCCAACGACACACATGTTGGGTACCAGCCTGACGAGCGGCTGCAGTCATACCAATTCAAGCATTAACTACAGTACAGGCAGCGCCAACACTTCCAGCTCCAGGTCATTGTTCACGCCAATCAAGTTCACCTCCCTCTTTTCTTCCACCGGCGTCAGTGACCAAAGCAAGCAGCGAGGTAAGCCATACACACACACACACACATACATACATTTGAGGGTGTTTTTGATCGAGAGTCTGATAAATAGCATTTTTCTAGCATTTGAGAGAAAGAGGCTAACAGCACAACAACTGTTTGAAGATGCATACAGCATAGATCAATCTGGGCAAGAGCCGAACCATTTCTAGATTGTAAATTATAAGGCCTACTCATCCCATTGTGACAAAATGTAACTGATCTAGAAGTAGTTTCAAAACCTACTTTAAACTTTAAATTAGATCTATCTTCCCGGTACTATTTCAATGCTAGAATAAAGCAGATTCCAATGATTGTGAGGGTGTTATTTTGTAGTGAAATCGGGCATTTCAAGAGCATGATGTATCCTACGAGAACACTATCTACGAGTGAGCCTTAGTCTGTCAATCGACAACATCACACAGATTCACATAAAGTGGAAACTTGTAAACCAAGAAATTACATCTTTACGAAAAAGGATTTGTTGTCTCACTAGTTCTAGGAAATCCTTGAATTGGTCAAATTTACAAATTCTTTTCAGTCTTATTTTTCTTAGATCATATGAGGTGATGGTTGAATAATCTCGCATTTATATAGAATTTTCCAATATGTCTTTTCATCCGGGTGAAGTGGATCTCGCTTAGGAGTCATCAACACCCTCAGCGGGACTCGAACTGTGACACTGCAGCGTATAATCTCGACGCCTTAACCCCTACACCACATTGAATTAGTCTGGCCTCATTCTCGCAACATGGTCATGAGCTGTGCCTTAGTAACGACACCCTAAGGACAATAATTTATCCGAAGTGGCTTTTGACAACATGACAAATTATTTCTTTAATCATACTTGGATAAACATGTTCTGAGACCCACATGGATTATCAGATTCTCGGCCAAATACATCTTAGAAAGTACAATAACAAAGCTTATCAATTTGTGTTTTTTTCCATTTTTCAGCCTCCCAGGAGCACTGGTTGACGGTGGTGAATACGATAATCAGCTACCTTATCGAGGAGGGAAGATGTAAGTTTGCCTCATTTATTTAGCCTTTAGGCAAATTGTATGCCCATTTGCTTCTACCGGCAACTCATCTGCCTCCTATTCTTTTCGCTGTCCTCCCTCTGGTGCTACTTTTGGGCCCTGCAGACAAGCACAAATTCATCCTTCGCAGACCCGGCAATCAGTGCCAAGTCCGCGAGCTGGAGAGCATCCTCTTCTCGCCCCGTCCCGTCTCCCAGACCGCCTGTGAGCCAGGCTGCCCGGGCAGATGTCTACCTTCATCCTGTTGGATCCGCGGCGTCTTGAGCGCCTTTGAGGCGCCCGCCATCGCCTGTCTCTTGACACGAGCTCTCCGACGACGCCATCTCGAGTTGGGCTACTCGGCCGCCATTGGCTCACCGCCACCGGCCTCAGCGCTGCCCTGCACAGCCTCACACTTGGGCCAGCAGGGCTGTATGGAAGCGCAGAATCATACGCATTTGTGGACAGGTTCAACGTCCACTTCACCATCCTCGTTGGCCTGCGGGCCCAGCAGTCTGGAGTCTGCCGGAGGCGGCTTGATCCCGCCCCAGATCCGGCAGATTCTTCTTCGAATGCCCGGCGTA